GCGCACACACACATACGCACACACATAAACACACACAAGCACACACATACACACAAACACACACAAGCACACACACACACACACACACACACACGTTAAAATCTTTAAACCTAAAATAGACAAGGAGATTGGCGTTATATTCCTTTGCCAAACGTCAAACGTTTCAAGAGTTCCACTGTTCATATTGTGTAAGCTCCAACCTCTCACTGAGATTTGAACGTTTTGCACACTTCTTTCCGGAACCAGCAGGATGAGGAAATCTAGGTAAAAACAAGAAATAAAGATTTCCCCCCTGTCTGAATGTCTGTCTGTCTGTATGTCAGTCTGTCTGTCTGTCTATCCTATCTCTCTCGGTCTCTCGCTCTCTCGCTCTCTCTCTCTCTCTCTCTCTCTCTCTCTCTCTATCTATCTATCTATCTGTCTATCTCACACACATAACCAAACATATAACCAAATATACGCACCTGCACACTCACAAACACACACACACAAACACATACACATCCACAACTTAGAATTTCATTCAATGAGACTCAAAAAAAGATGTGAGATCGGTAACTATAGATTAAACTAAACATAGTTTTCCCCTATTAAACTTTACTTCAGCCTGTTTCAGACATCAACAGAAATCACACTGTGAGCACACCTGATGCCCCAAGGCACGCATATGGGCGACAATTTAATCATTGTAAATGGTATACACCACCATCAAAACTTTAAAAATCATTTAGGACGCAAACAGCTCGGCTTTGATTTACTCGTACATGTGTTATACCCCCATTGACGCAATTAAGATGACTAGTTCAACTAATTGTAAATGAAGACTACAGGGGGCAGAATTCTTTAGAGTGTTGTGTTCTAGTAATAATAATAATAGATAGCATTTGTATAGCGCAAATCCCCGCTCAACAGTAAGCTCTATGCGCTTCACAATCTATACTATTACCCCAGAAGACGTGAGAGCATTCTGAAACAAACTCAACTTCCTGGGAAGCATACAGTGCAAGCAGCCATTTATAGGCGCTAAAACAATAACATACTGATATTCTCACCTGGGTGAAATGAGGAAAATTCGTGCAAAGTGCCTTTTCCAAGGACACAACTTCGGGCCCGTGGCTCGAGCACCCGAACCCGCAACCTCCCGATTACGAGACCGGTAGCCTAACCACTAAAAAACTATTAGCTAGGTAGATTCTTCGTTTATTGGTTATCTTAAACAGTGTCCAACATTTTATGTCACCGTTGGGTTGCACTGTGGGGATTTGACAACATTTTTAAAAAAAAGTATTATGGCTTGGACGTCGCCAGTTTTTTCCTTCACTGGCTTCAAATGGTTCACGCCCCTATGGGCACAATCTCGATTATTTCAGAGACCACACATCTAGGTGGCTCGGACGGAGTTGCAGACAACCAGAGCGTCCATGAGGGAGCCAATGAGAAGAGAGTTGTTGTAGACAGCGCCAACAGAAGAGCCCGTAATGAGGTCTCCGTGGTCATAGAACAGCTCTGTGATCTGGTCCATCAGGATCTCCCCGTTCGTCACATTCAACGGCAGTTGCAGCACCTGTTCAGGGAAACAATAGTTCAGTTTAGTAAGAGTTTTACCGCGCTAGCAAATGCATAAGGTCATATGAGCGCAAGGAAATAATGATACTTTATGTAGGATAGTTGATTGGTTGGAAATATTTTACATCTCCCTTGATACAATTTAGATTTACATTACCTTGGCTACGGATTGCTTTGACCTTGACTCACAATAGACTTACTGGATACTCGAAAAAATAGACTTCCTTGTAAAGGCATTGCTCTCAGGTCTTTGGCGTGCAACAGTGAAGAGATTAGCCAATACACCACAGGTCCTGGTGGAGTTAGATGACGTTTATGTAATGTGTGTGTTTGAAAAGTGAGTGTATGTGAGTGTTTGTGTGAGTGTGTGTGTGTGTGTGTGTGTGTGTGTGTGTGTGTGTGCGCGCGCGCGTTTGTGTGTGATAGAAAGAGAG